AGGAATTTCTTAAATCGGTAAGACTGCGTACAAGCGCGACGTCTCGAAGTAAGTAGGAAATGAAGCAACTATGATAAAGAAACGCACCGAGTTGTTTCTGCTCAAAGAACACGCTTTTAGTTTTTATACGATTTGCTGCTATAAAATTTGACATTTCTTTTAAATATGAATCTCSTTCTGAGTGTTCAAGTTAAAAAAAATGCCTTAATACGAAATATGTTGCAGAGAATAAAACAGTTTTGTTTACTTAACTGTTCTTTGTACAATATCTAACTGTCAGAAGAATGAAACTTGGAAAGTATTCGCTCGCACTCTCAAGGATGTTGGTAGAGTAGTAATAGATAAMTGAAATTCGATATTAATCAATTGCATAGATAGAAAATTAAGTATTACGAAAATATATATTGAAATATACTTAAATATCTGAAGTTCCCTTAATCAACAGCAAAACTTTTCTGTCTTGAATGTAAGCAATAATGGTTTTTGTTTCTGTCCCAGCTATTAGGATGACTATGAGTGAAAAAAAAGAACTGCTCTTACAAAGAGGCAGTAATGAGCAGTACAAAGCGTATGAAAACTAGCAAAAAAAAAAAAAAAATCCAAAAAATACCCAGGCAGAGGTGTTTTCGAAAACCAATCCAAATTATCAATTGGAAATTATTCATTGGAAAAAAATTGTTCAACTAATGTATACAAATACATAAAACTATGAATTAATTATTACATTCAATTTATCAAGGTTTACACGTATAGTGTGCATGCATCCCTGGAAAAAATTTCGGAAAAAACTTCCTTCAATAATACATAAACTCGTTTTTCGCCATTTGGTATTTTGATACTTTTCGAGTACTATAGAGTATTCTAATAATATTTAATGTTTTTTCCATCACGAATATTTACCAAAACTCCCGATATGAATAATGTCAGAGAAGAGACCAGAAGCTCGTTATAAAGATTACCGCGATCTCGTTATCACCTTCATACCCTTAAATTGCGTTATACAGTAAATTTAGTTTATTGTTGTTAAAAAATAAYGTAGATATAAACTTTACTTTAAAATAATATGCAATAATTTATTTACAAATACTTAGTAGAAACAAAGAAAATAACAAAATGATGGCCCTTCCTTTCAATTCTTTACTTATATTTTCAGGGAAAATTTTTCCTCACACTAATTGTTTCTCATGCTGATAGAAATCCATAATTTTCTCCAAAGCTTAAAACTTCTTACTCATTATGAAATTTTTATATTTCACAAATTGTTCGCCAAAACTAAAGCAACTATAGTATAAATAAGGAAAAACTGATATTACTATTTGATCTTACGGTCTGGAGTTTCCAATTACATGTCGAAAAACACAAGAAGCCGTACCCATTTTGGATAGGAGTTTCTAGACCTTGCAGTGGTTGATTATATCTTTGAACCATGCAGGTTGTAAACTCCCAAAAGCAGGTTAAGATGGTGCRTACCTATTGCTTACTGCCAGTATCTTTCTCTACCCGTTTCCTCCTATGTGCAGAGTAGCTCTTTTGTGGTGTGGGACCCAACCGCCGAACACACTCCTGACCTCTTCACCTTAGAGCGGGCCAGTTCTGCCAGCTCGTTGCCGGTTATCCCTCTTTGTAACGACCCCTCTTGGAGGAAAGGCCAGTGGTGTTTCCTCCCCTTAGGCCTTCAGTTGTTGAGACGAAATTATCCGCCCTTTACCATACCCCTATACTGTCATGAGCATCATGGTACTCTTAGCAGTCTACCTGATCACTAGATGGAACGGTGTGAGCTTCAGCATGACCCCTGAGTAGCAGACGATACCTTCGATGCCCAAACCACCGCTAAATATTTGTCAATCTTACACATCGATAAAATTTTTACACATTGACTACGCAGTAAGAAAACAACGTTATATTTACCAAAACGTTGTATTAATAACTACAAACATACATATGGATACTATCTTGGAAAAAAAGTTTCTTATTTACAGGACAAACAAGAGAGTTTTAAAAAGCTTACCTTAAGCAATGTTAAAATTTTTTGTGACAAATCATAGTCAAAGTTTGAATACTTCGAGCCACTCATATCATATATGAAGATTAGACCCGCCCTCTGAGTTTCTGTATCTTGTAGTGCACAATCGAGTTGATATACGATTCCCTGCAATGTTATTGTATGCGTAACACTAAGAGGACTGTGTTTGTTTGCTGTGAAAAGAGCAATCGCTGCTCCGTTGGCATCACGCGAAGGCTGAAGGAAGAAAATTTGCGTTTTTGTGAAATTAATTTATTTAAAAATTTTATGAGTAACCACTAACCAATATAGTGAATTTTCCAGTTTTTAACTCTGAATACAGCGGTTCTAAATCTGGATTTATGTTGTACAAGCCTTCCCGTAGCCGAATTTGTTCATGTTGTTCGTAAAGTGATACAGCTCTATGTACATCAAATTTTCGCGCGTAGAGAAATTTTATCGCCGTTGCACATGATATATTTCGTCTAACACTTGATGAGGATCCAGTACAATGGTCAATAAATTGTTTGACAGCCTAAAAAAATTAAAAATAAATTGTTTTATAGTCAAATCAAAGAACTGGCCGTATCTGTCAAAAAATTATATTTACAATTAAAAAATTTGAAAGAAATTAAAAAGAGTAATTAATGCTATACTATTCTTTGGAGATCATGAATATATTATTAAATTATAGTACGATAATATTAGATTTCTATATTAAATCATTTCAACGAACAACTTCTCAATTGACAAATTAAAAAAAAAAAAACTCTGGAGACTGACCCAGTTACTCTAAAATGTCATACATCTTAAAACGATGCTCAATGCTAAGTTCTAATACGCTATTATGCTCAGTAGTTAATACATTTTAGTTAATTTTAATTTTTTCTTAACTGTAATCTCTGTAATTCTTTAAGAGTGTATAGACTGTTACAACAAGAAAAGAAGATAATCTAATACGATTTGGTAATACAAAAAAATTACCACAGTATAAACAACATATAGTATGTACATATGTATATGTATTTAAATAGAAGTCGTATTTAAAGARTTTACAAAACGCACGCCAACTTTTGACTAAGTTTGTATGCCATATTTGTAGGCTCTCGTTGGGTAGCAGGAGAAGCAAAATCGGCGTGCCTACACACAGTGAATTCTGTCAAGATAAACAGCCACCAATTCCAATGAACTGATATGATATAAGTTTGTTTGTTGCTGACCAGACCGCGGTGACGTATCGAAGTAAAAATACCGTCTTTACTTTATTGCCGGCGTTAATCAGAATAGTTTCCTCTTGAGTCATTCTGTTGGCATATGTATGTATGTATATATATGTATATCATTTTTTTTTGATGGTAGCTTAACGTATATATATTTATATATATACATATATATACAATATGAATGTAGGTCTGAGAAGCCTGGTTCGAGCAATTGAAATAATTTACTCTTCATGTAAATGGTTGTTCGTGATTGTAGTTCAATTAATACAAATGACTACATACAAGGTAGGTATGTAGATTTAGGAAAGGAAAACCGAAAGGTGTCCAATGGTACATTGAGAAAATGTGTTACTATCAGTCTCTAGACAATTTGCAAAAGATGTTATTCGCAGTTCTATTATAAAATTAATAATCTTGGTTTCGAAAAGCTTTTTTGTTTTTACTTTTAACAACACACATCATAAGCTACATTTACAATTAAAGAATTAATTTCACCTTTGTTTTTTTCTTTATGAATTGAAATTAATATCAGCTGATATCCTATTAGAAATCAGAAAAGGGATGGCGAAACATAATGAAAACAAAAAAGAAGATAGAAAATGAAAAGCAAAATTGAGCAACCGTCCATTTGTGTATACAAATACGCGTAAAACCACTTGTAAACATACAACATACACACGTGCAAGTGCAATTAATTTATCCTTATTCTAATCACACTAATTCCAAAATAGTTTGTAAGAACAATATGTACACGAAGTACATCAATTTCTACTTTTAAATACACATATGTAGTTAAATGAAATATTCAAATGCCAATATTCATTATAATATTAAATACCACCATATTATATTCAATTAAATTTTGACGATATGTGGTGGAATTTCAAACTGATAATCAGAGATCTTAAATTTACTGATACAACACTTTTAAATTTCCAACCCTCCAAAATTCTATAGGTGGAGATATAACGATTTGTCACTTTTTTTATTTAAATTGCACTTTCCTCAGGAAGATATTTGTTATTATATTTTAGTTCATATATTTGGAAACGTAAAAAATGTAATTGGAACAGGAATTTTACTTACAAAATTTACATCTTCCGACGCCATTTTGAGTGAGTGTAATTCTGACATGACTCCGGTTCTTCTAATTTCGCTTTGTAGCYCAAACAGGGTTGCTCCCACAAATGTTTAATAATTCTATTTTAAGTATTTTACTTACAAATTCGTAAATTATGTGTTCAGTTATCATATTTCGTATCTGTTTTACATATATTTATTGGTTTATGGTGTACTTTATGGTTATCTTATTTATTTTTAATACGAAACTGATTGATTGTTGACAAATGTGTAACTTTCTCTGAAAACGCACAATAAGAACTTCAACTGAAAGCAAACATCAACAAAAACAATCAATGACTAAATCTATTACAATTTGCTAGTTTTCCAAGCATTTCTCTAATGAATCACCATTGTGGCTAATATTGCCACTTAGTTCAAATTCTTKTGAATTGTGAGAAAATATTGAATAGGGAATAAGACCCCTATTTGCCCTTTACGATTTTTCTTTAAAGGGCTTTTATCACACTCTATTACTATTAATACGGGAATTTAGTTATCGCGAAAGTTGGGGTAATGTTGATTTTTGTTATGACTTAGATTTCCTTCAGCTCTTGTATAGACTATAAAATATCCTTTCCGTGAACAAAATCTGGCAGGCCGTCTTTATCGTGTCAGGTGGCAATCACTATATCTGTTTCCTCGTAGTTTATTTTTTATTATAGTGTCGTTCGTATCTAAGTGAAAATTAAAAACACTTTTCAGTAATTAAAACTTATGAAAAGTATATATACATTTGAATTTTAGGAATAAAGTGGTTCATATAATGAAAAATTGAGGAAATCCATTATTTGTTTTCGTTATCATAAGACGCAGACAACCTTAGACCAACCTGTGGTCTAAGAAGTATGCTAATATTTTATATTCAAGCCCTAGAAATCCTCTATCAAGATATCGAACGTTTCCTCTATTAAAGCTACAAGAATAGCGCAGGTTTAAGTATTTAATATGAGCGGCGGTGGAGTTGGGAGTGACTCTGCTGCGCCAAGTGGTCCGCGAGTGGTACATATTTACAAGACGGAAACTGGTAATTACAGCAAAAAAAAAAAAATTACTTTGACTATTTTATTCTGAATCAAAGTTAGCAGTTGCCTTACGATTTTAGGTGCAATACTATACAGATAATCTTAAAGACACACACACACCTAAATGTAAAAGAAACCTAATATATTGATTTTTTAATATTAGGTTTTGGTTTCAATGTACGTGGACAAGTTTCTGAAGGTGGGCAACTTCGTTCGATAAATGGGGAATTGTATGCTCCCTTGCAACATGTAAGTGCTGTTCTGGAAAATGGGGCGGCAGAAAAGGCTGGAATTAAGAAAGGAGATCGTATTCTCGAGGTGTAAGTATTCATGACCATTAATAGAAGCTTAATAACAATTTATACATAAACCTATGCATAAATTAATTTTTATTCGACTCTATGTGTATACGATTTTCTTCAACTGTAACAAAAAAATTTTTTGAAATAATTTACAATATTATGATTTGCTTTATTACACCCACTTGATGTATTCGCAAGTGATAAACTAATCAACTACTTAAACTTTAACAGACTCGACAAATGCAATAATTTATTATTCTATCTAGTTTCGATTAGTAACATTTTTACATAGTGAAATAAATTAATGAGATAACCATAACACTCAATGTAATTGAATAACTTCTCATACATAGCGAAGAATTAATTTTTACCGTTCTGTTCAAACTCTAGCTCAAAACTATTTAAATTTCAATTTGATATACTATCAAGTCAACACCCACTAAAAAATTTACATATAGTATATGCATAAATATATGTGTATATTGTGATAGTAAGATTTRTTGCCTCTTACCACGAAATTGTTCATAATTTGGGATGAATATAGGGAGAAGCTTATCAGTTATTTATAAACAAAACCATATTATGTTTATAATAGGCGCTGCAGATAAGACGTGCAAATGTATTAAATGTTGTACTTATTTTTAATTCGAAGTACTTATTCTTAGGCAYGCATCCTAATTATTTAAGTACTTTTGAGATAATACGAAAACGGAACAATGTAAATTTTCAACCCAACAGTAGTTTATATATATTAAATCAGATATTGAATAATGGAAAATTRACTTACTATCAAAAAGGTGTTTGAGAAGGGTGTCGAAACTGAAATGGTATCTATGTAAAATAAATAGCCCATAGAAATATCAATACGCTTAAGTTCACTATTTAGATAAATCATCACCAACCGTTTATAGCCGATTAAATCCATCATTATATCCTTAAAAAGTCCTTGAGCCCTTGCTGTGTTAGCATTTTTCAGGAAAACACCCGAAATGCATATGTTGAAAAGTTGTTTACAATACAGAGCTTATATGAATATAGTTTACGTGCAATGTTCGTTGTTTGAAATGAGAGATTTGATGAAATTTGTAAATATAGAGGATTCCTAGTACTATATTGAAGAAATCATTATTATTTTTCAGGAATGGTGTTAGCGTAGAAGGAGCTACTCACAAACAAGTCGTTGATTTGATTAAGTCGGGAGGAGATTGCTTAACTTTAACGGTAATTTCCGTGACACAGCAAGTGAGTAATACACAAAATTATACATATCATGAAGTTTTCATTTGATATATAATTTATCTTAAAGGAAGCGGAGAGACTTGAACCTCAAGAAGATCAAAGTGGTTACTCTTATATTGACTATTCTGATAAACGTTCGTTACCCATTAGGTAATTTAAGATTATATATTAATAATTCAACCTTTAGAATTATTCCCGTTTTTAGTATTCCAGATTACAGTATTGTGAATCGGAATGGAGAGCGCTACATTGTATTCAATATTCACATGGCCGGGCGTCAACTGTGCTCTCGTCGTTACCGGGAGTTTGCGAATCTTCACTCAATACTACGGAAAGAATTCGCCGGTTTTAATTTTCCTAAGCTTCCAGGAAAATGGCCATTCCAATTAAGTGAGCAGCAATTGGATACACGTCGGAGAGGTCTTGAGCAGTATTTGGAAAAGGTTTGCGCAGTGCGTGTTATTGCTGAAAGTGATGCTGTTCAAGATTTTCTCACTGACTCTGAAGATGATGTATCCGCTTCTCCAGTGGATATCAAAGTAATGCTGCCTGATCATGAAGTATCGACTGTCTCTGTCCGAAAATCTGCTAACGCGCAGGCTGTGTGGGAGCTTCTGGTCCAACGCGCCAATCTTACATCATATACACAGCAATATTTTTATCTTTTTGAGATTGTTGAATATAATTTTGAAAGAAAACTGCAGCCACATGAAATTCCACATCAGCTGTACGTGCAAAATTACAGCACTGCATCAAGCACTTGTCTTTGTGTACGTCGGTGGTTGTTTTCAGTGAATCGGGAACTTGGCCTACCGGATGGTGAACAAGCAGCAAAATTTATTTTCTACCAGGTAAACGAGCTTTAAAATATTCCATTAGTGGTACTCATTTGTTATATCGTAGGCAATCGATGAAGTTAATCGTGGGTATATACGCGCCGAAGGTCGCCTTTACGAGCTAAAAGCCTTGCAAGATGCTAAGAAAGCATCGGAGTATTTGGCATTGGCGCGCACACTACCTGGCTATGGTGATGTTGTATTTCCGCATTGTGCCTGTGATAGCCGCAAGGAAGGGCATGTTATACCGGCTGTTGGTAAGTAAATATAACTTTTAATTCGTAAATRAATGAAGAGCAGTATATATTTATTTTTATCTCAATGAGCATGAATAGATGCTTTCATTTCCCAAATCTAAAGTAAAATAATGGGCACATACAGTGGGGAACACAAATGAGTACATGTTTGTGYTTCGTGTATTTATATCTGCATAACAATAAATGTAGTAAGGAAAATKTTTAAAGTTGTTAAATATTAAAATAACAAATACTAGAAAAGAAGTAAGGAAGGGCTAAGTTTGGGTTTAACCGAACATTTCATACGCTTGCACCTTGCAAGGATTAAAGCCGGGGTAATGTTTCATATATTATTTATTGACCGATATTTTCGATCAAAATTCAACTATAGATACTGAGGTCCATACATTCGGTACCCAGAGACTTTGAACATTTTTTGTTGGACTTTTGACAATTTTTGGTGATAAGATGGCGTACTTCATAGGCATTATTCGAACAAAGTTTTATTCCGTTATATATGTAAATTGCTTCTTGGTTTTTACATGGGAAATGGATTTCAACTTGTYCCTTCATCCTCATAATTTATATATACACAACCGTTAGGTGAACAAAACCKTTATACTCATTAGCAACATATTGGAAGAGTATAAAAACAAGTAAAACTGAAACAACTCCTATGTACTTAATTTTGTACCTTTCAGAAACTTTCAGAAAAGAGCTAATTTCTAATATTAATCCCTAGCCCTTTACTCCCCAAAATACTTTTCATCAGATTTGCATACTTTTCACCAAATTTTTATAAACTAATTTGGAAAGCTATGCCATTCCCGCTGTACCCGTTGCCAAAACTCGTCCAGATTCTATGAGGTTGCTCGGTATTATCCCGACCTTTTTTTACTATTGACTATAAATCCTCGATCGGATTGGATCAAAACTTTGATTGGCTTATTTTAACTTTTTAGATATCATTCGTGTAGAAGACCTACTCTTGTTATRACTATAATACTCCCCTCATTGTGTGGTAATAGCTTCGACATTCTTTTTAGAGGCAATGAAATTAATGTAATAACTATTCATAGACATTTTTTAATTATTAAAAAGTTTTAACCAGGTGCAATAAAGTACAATATCAATGAAAACAATGCAAACATACAGCAAACTTTGATACTTTTTTATTAAAAACGCAACGGATGCATAATTGAGTTCATGTGACTTGTTTTAGTTGTATTTCTCTGGTTTTTGGAATTCGATACTTTATTTGTTTGTATTTTTAACCACTTGTTTAGAATTGATAGAGAACTAAAGGGATGCTTATACAAATATAAATACACAAAGGACAAACTTGTACCTATTTCTGCATGAAAAACACCTATATTTTTTCAACTCCGGAAACACCCCGAATATATAAACTATAATAAAAAAATAAAAATAAAAAAAATAAATAAATAAAAAATAAATAAATTTATTAACTCAATTGGCCAAAATTCTAAAATATATGATTACAAATATAGAGGTAATAAAAAAAATAAAAATCCTTATGCACGTCGAATAATGTTAATATGTAATATAATTTACCGAAGTTTTTTAAATAGTTTTTTCGTAAATTAATTTTCTACTTTATCACGTTGTCAATCGTTTTTTATCAGGTATAAAAAGTTTCCGTTTGCATGCTTGTCGGGAGGATGGTTCAATGGAGGCGCAAATGGTTGAGCTAACTTGGGAAAGTATAACACGATGGGAGAGCGACGAAGAGTCCATGTCTTTCTGCTTTCAATACAATCGTCCGGATAAACCGGCACGTTGGGTAAAAGTATATACGCCATATGTAAGTATGCTTTGTTATTTCAATAAAAAAATCAAATATTTTATTATTTTTCCAAAACTGCAGCATTCATTTTTAGCTGATTGTTTCGATCGAATAGTGGAGGAACGAAAGTGGGAAGACACTGGTGATTAACAGAAACGAGTTCACAACGCTTGAGCGTGGGCTTCAATTTATTCTAGTTTTACAACTATTTAAGCATTTCGCAGCATCAATTCATTATCTCTTAGCATTTCGCTATTTACCCAGTTGATAATCAACATCTCAAAGYTACGACATTTTCTACTTTTGTCATTTCGACACTCACTACTCGTCTACTTCGTCAAGTGAATTATTTCGTGTACTTAGTAGCAAGTGGGTCTGATAAATTATTATAATTAAATTTATTTTTATTAAATCAATGGCCATAATATCCCGAATATAGAGAAATGCAAATATAATTGAAGTATTAATTATACAGATGAAATAACCAAAATTATTAAATATATAACAACAATAGGTTAACGAGCTTTGAATGCATTATATCATACAAACTTAACYACACATAACTCAGAAATGACAGTTTTTAAAATTAAGTCAACTGTAAATACATATGTATACATGTATTTAAATGCACCATAACACTTTCAAATGTGAACAAATTGGTATTTTCGCACTAAGATCAAATTGCTTTTAACGTACATACATTTAAATTAATCTAAGATGTTTAAGAAATTAATATTAAAATTGTTGTCAATTTCTAAGGATGAAGGCTTACGTACTCCATAGTGGAACAAATATATATAGAAAATTTAATGGACAAGTAAATAACGAAAGTCTAAATAACTAATTAATTATGAGTGAAAATCAAATAATAACAAATTGTTTATGAATTAAAACCCTCAAAAGCGTTGAATGTAGCTATAAAGTAAAAATCATGCGCATTGGCCCAAATTAAATGATAGTTACAATAAGATATATATTAGGGGGAACTAGGAACATTCTTCCATAGTATCTGATGTAAATTTAACAAAAACCGTAAAGTGAACAAACGTAAATACGAAAAGTTGTATTTTTTGCAAGTATATGAAAATAGAAAAATCTAATTGTATGTATAAAATAATTCTATATTATCAGTACAAACAAAGCGTATTCAGCAACATCAGAGAACATTTAAAATGAGAATATTTTGTTAATATATATTTTTTTTTAACAACACCSATGTCCTCGGTATATTCTTTTAAATCTTTATTGTTCCTCGAAAAGGTTTCAATGATTGAATGCGAACAACATTTCYATATGTTCCGTAGGAGCTTTCTGAAGCAACATATTGTTTCATCCATTGTATTTCTAACTTAAAAYATATTGTGAGCCTAAGAGATCAGGAATATAGAAAAATTATTAATTGTAAAACATATAATTATATTCACACTATCTCATTTTAAATAAACCTAATTCTACGCTTTAGAAATTTTCAAATATGAACTCGCATTGTACACTTTTTAAGCGCATACATATATACAAATTGTTGGCTCAGATAACCATATGTTTCAGTAATTCGTTTGCGTAAATATACGAAAAAACTAGCATATAGTTTTAAAATACACTTACAAATTATTTATATTTCAAAATATAGTGATATTCTTTAGGTTCATGATATTTACAAATTGTTCTTTAAAAAGCATAAATGTGGCCATTACATTACAATAATTACGTTATAATAGCAAGTTCTGGCTCTGACATTCCTTATATAGGTAAAATGAGTATGCAAGCATCAGACGTGTGTATATGAGTCTAACGATAACCGTCAGGTGTCTGAATGCATTTATTAAATAGAAGTAGAAATGTACAGAAAAATTTAATCCTGTCAATAAGATATGCTTAAGTCCAGCATATTCATATCTTCTCTAAGCTCTGCTGATGGATTGAGACTCTAATGAAAAATACGAGCAAATATAATTATTTAACTTAAGTATAAAATAGATTGTTACAACTCTCATTTTAATATGAATTTAATTATATTGTTTTATTATATCATTCTTAAATCCGTCGACATTTCATTAATATATTCATGTATAGCAACTAGTATGACACTATAAAACATAGAGCGATAGAAAGTTTTTGTTACAATGTTCAGAACTTTCAAAATTGTGTATCCATTAATTGAAAATATCTAAATATCCACAGCTTATTATAATCAACTTGATTGTTTCTATGAAAATATGTTAGATAACTTTAAAAACTTAAAATTCGAAATTAAAATGTTTAGATCTCTTGCATGAATGAATATGCAGACATTTATTTTATTTTACTGACAGCTGCTGTCTTAAATTKAAAATTTCACTGTAACATTTTTTTAGATTTACGTTATGAACATATATTGTGATTATTTAAATTATTATTATATTTTATTATTATTGCCAATAAAATAAACTGCGTCTAAATGAATTACGTTTAAAATGCATATGGTTCTGGGTTGGATGTAGCTTGACTAATAGTAAGTTCAATAAAATTCAAAAGCCATCATATGAATCCTTGGTCTAGTGTCTATACTACTGTTAGCATTACCTTAAATGGGCTACTTATATTGGGCACTGGATCGAACCAAATACGCTCCGATAATATAGAACACATACCTCAAAAATCTGCATATATTTAAACAAAATTTTTATGATATTTTTAATTTTAGACGGGATGCTGGGAGAACTGAACGACGTGCAGACATCGGGTGGCAATCGTTTGCGTATATGCTTGTGAATTTAAGCACTGTGTACGTGGTTTACGTTTGTAATATACTACAAATTGAGCGTTATCCAATTTTTTAATTAACGCTATCAGTTTATAGCTAAACCTATACAAATATTGGCAAGAGATATGGATAATTAAAGTGTTAAGAGGCTATGAGACGCTTAGCTAATTGTTAACGAAGTAAATACAAAATGTTTTTGTCAATTAAGCTGCTCTTAATGCGGTTAATTAGTAGAATCAATAATAACTCAAAGTGACTGCCGCTTTGTTGCATTGATACAACCATTTGTACATGTGTACATGCGTAAACATGTACGCGGATATAAAAGGCAAAGCTGATAGTCAATAAACTTCAAATAGTATGGAAAATGCTCTATGCTCCATTCTCACACATGTAGATGGGATTAAATAATAAAGTTAACTACTTTGCGACCCAATGCTGACGTTGCTTACCGATAGTATTAGTAATATTACCAAATTTCCAAACTTCATAAGGCTTCGTAGCGTATGTGGCATAAACCTACGATACACAAGCTTTTGGTGTCATAAATCGTTCTCAAAATATCGCTGAGTACATATGAATGTATATACATATGTATTGAGTACGAATCGTAAATCACCACTATGCATGTAGCCATGTGTTTTTATAAAACGTTATCGAGTGGTTTCATCCCACAGATAAGAGGGGCACGTAAAGGGACAACAAATATTATCTCAACCGAATCTTTACAGTGCCAATTATCAGGGACTCGTGAAAAGTGTGTACGTGTTAGTTAACATATGCTTATAATTAGCGAAATGCGAAGCTATTGCCAAACTTTTGGGACATATACACAAGCTACATATACGCAAGTAAGCTGTGAATCCGAGAGGCGGATAACTTCTTCACTTACCAATGTTTACCCACTTATAATTGGAATGTGGATTGAATACTTTTGCTGTGCAGCTACAAATGCGCGGGTGTTGGGCGATTTTATCATCCGTATCAATTGCTGCGAGTGTGTTGGTGAGCCGGTGCCATTGAGAATGCGCTCAGAATCGCTACGTTTGTCAGCTTTGTAATCTTTGTATGGATGCAAAACAACGTTACGGCTCGCAGTGCTTTCGAATTCTACACCGTGCGCACACGCAAATAGAATTGCTCGGAAACGATCACAAAGCTCGTGGGAACAGTTTCGGTTCTAAAAAGTTTGATTTACAACGGTTAGAAGAGTTGAAAATACATACATATATTTATATACTATGTGAAAGATTTTTAGTTCTCTATAATTTTTATTTAATAATTGAGATAAAGAAAGTATTGAGWGTATGAGTGCAATTAAATAGTGCTGCTTCTATAAGAATAACGTATAATTTGATTCTTAGCCTTTAATCGTCAAATCATATTTGGTAGTTAGAACTATAGACCCATAGAGATTAAATGATTTGTGTAAATACACATTTGRTCTAAGTACATATGAATCTACCCTTTTTTGACTTATTTTGTTTAAAAGTTCAAATAAATCCGATTACATATGGATTTAGCAAGTTTTGTCGCATRTTCAGAATGATTTGTAGCAAATCAAGTGAATCTAGTATTTTTAAATACTTTATGATAATTTTTTAAGTAGTCAAAATTTTTCGTATATATGTAAATTTCAAACTTAGGCACCAGAGACCAATACAAGACTCAGGGCTTATACCATTTTACTTTGTTTTGAGTCCTTGCTTGTTGCACAATGAATTCTTAACGGATCTAATTATATTATTCTTACATGAGACAATTTTTGGTGTAGATTTAATACAGAAATCTTTATAAAACGAAAAAATTTAAATAAAGCAGGGTTTATCTAGATTTTACAAAACTAAAAAAAATGAACTCCACGGTATCAGTTTCAAGTCTTTCTCTTCTCTCTTATTTGAAGCTTTGAAAATATTGTAATACTTAAGAATCCAAGATGGCCAAAGCCATTTAATGGTCGTTTCATTACCATATATAAATAAACATGTCTATATTGTATAAATGTATACACATTTTGCTATTATCCTTTAAGGACCCTTATCTTGTAGGAAAAATCTTAAAATTATTCCGCAGATTGGTACTTGGTATATGTATATACATATATATTTTCCCGTAGTTCCTAGGTGGAACATAGGGCCTCATACTTGGTAGTCATATTTATCTGCATTCATTTGGAATATCAAATATTCATGACGCAGGAAGAGGGTCACATACTACTCAAACAATATATGTACAAATTCGTATTTACAAATGTCTGTAGATCCATAAGTGTGTGAAGGAGGTAAATTTTCAATAGCACGCCTTAAAAGCCTAAAATCGGCGTACTGGGCTAGCGTTTATACGACAATGAATAAACACTTTGGCAATATTGAGACGAAAGGGGCTCTTGGAATTAAAGCAAATGAATGGTGTCATCGATGATATTACAATTGACATCATTGCTTCACTGCTGACTCAGCTGTCCAAACGTCCGTTACGTTATTTAGTCCGTTACGTTATTCGGTCCGATGTTTGAAACTACCAAAAGGATAGGAAATAGACCTGTACTACTGCATACTTATTTCCTGTGGAATGGTCGACTTTAAAACTGCACTTTAGAGCGAATCTCGTAAATATACGGTCAACACTTTTCACGAACTATAAAAACATCACTCACAATGTCAATGAAATATCAACCGGCCTTTCGTGAGATAATTATATTTGCATGGTTGATAATTGTATTTGTCTACAATTGGCATTTAATGCTTTCCATAATTTAYTAATCTTATCAAGTGATGATATAAGCCATTGATCTGGTTCGGGATCGGGATGATTAGACGAATAAATGGCCAAAGGGACAAACGGAAACTTGAGTAGAAATTATGCCGTTTTCATTAAATTTGGTGAATATTTTCCTTAACACCCTGAGGGCGGTAGACAATTCTTATGGGTGGAATCTGGTATTTTCCACGCCTAAAAAATGTTAAAAGCTATCAGTTACAAAACGAATTGGGTCAAGGGATAATAATTGGTATCTAAAATAATGAGAGTAGATCAGCCGTCTAATACGTTTAAAAATAAGTATTAACCGAACTGTTCTTTTAAAATACATAATTTGCCTGTTTAACTGTTTAGCGAACAGCATCAGAACCTTTATATTTTGAAGAAGATCATTGTTCTTAATGAAATCAGGTGATAAAATTCCAGCATAACTTAGTTCATTTCTAAAAGTAGATGAAGTCGATCCAGATCCTGTTCAACTCTCATGCACCTATTATAACGATTTTCGCCATACTTTGTTTGATTATGAATGATGATTCAGAATTTCGATTTTTAATAATTTTTTGAGCAGATCAGATTGCCTTAATCCTAC